AAAAAGAATAACTACATAATTATAAATTAAATATTAAAACAGTAACTGGCCATATCATTGAACCAGTGTGCTGTGGAAAAAGTAGAAACTTGGTGAAACATTTATTATTCAGTTAAACAGTGTAATGATTTAAGGAATTAATAGGGCTGCAAGAAAAACAGAATTGTGGGGCTGTCCTGCAAACATGAACAACTCTCCTTACCTGTATGCTTACTTTGTACAATAAAAAAAGGATTGCCCACATGTTTAATGTCTACAAAACTGCATGTTGCATATAGGAATTGGGTCCACTCAAGGGAGGAAAATCAAGCAAAAAATTAATTCCAAGGAAAGGAATCTGACAATTCAAGTCAGTATGCATTAAAATAGTAACTTAGGAAAAGACTGAGTGAAGGCATGTGTGACAAGAATGTCAATAACAGGTCACAGAAATGTGCAACTACCTTAGTTCTTGTTCCAAAGACAGTGGAAGCCTGTAGACTCCTGCGGGGTTTTGCACCAAGTCCTCAAAGATCCCTCAGAGTAAGTTCAACACCTTGCAAAGAAAATAAATGAATGGCACAGCCATTGCTGGTTTTCTTTTCAGTAGGTGATCACGATCATCATTGGACCTACATCAATCATGCCAGCTGCATATCCATCTGGATCCCAGATACAAATTTATAGTGGATTTGTTACACTGGACAAGATTTGAAACAGGAGTCTGCACTGGGATCATCATCCCTGGCTTGTTATTTCTGCTTCCTTAATGTATGAGAGAAAGAGAGGGGAAATAAGGTGATCAATCCTAATCACTGCAATTAATGCCCCATTACACAATGCTTAGACAGGACAGTGATGTAGGAATGTGATTGTATGGAAGAAGACTTAAAGACTTCATGCAGCCACACAGAAGATTCTGAGCTGGGAGTCCCTTGAGAAGGTCTTTGGGAATGACAATGAGCAAGCTCAGGTTTGAAAACTGAAGTTCTCATCCATTCCACACAAACTATTTGCTTTAAAGAGGAACTTTGGTTCATAAAATTGTTTCTCATATTTGTTTTGATTTGATTTTCTTGTAGCTTTTCATGTTCTGAGGGGGGATGCACTCTTTGCTAGGGTCTTTTCTTATGTTTCCTACATTTCACGCTTTCAGTCTCAAAGGTTCTGAAAACAGATGTCTGGTTTTCAAAGCAGGTTTTGTTTTTTTTTTATTTTTGGCAATGCCAGACATTTTACAGTAGAAAATAATAATAATAATAATAAATAAACCAAACCAAACAAAAAAAAATTACCAAAGCCAGTGAGTTCTGATATCTTCTGTTTCCTTATCACCCTTTGTTATGCTTGTTAATCACTGGTGACTGGGTATATTTTAAACATTTAAAATGTATACATTTCCCTCCTCCCTTTCCAAACATCTGTTTATTTTACAACAACATGAACCTCAGGAAGAAGAAGAAAAAAAAAAAAAGCTGCTATTATATGCTTTTTTCAAAGTGGAGAAGTAAACATGGAGCTTTCACATTTGCTACATCAAATGGATGCTATTTATTTAACTGCTTGAGGCAGGAGGCCTGATCAGAGGAGAATTTCTTTTATGGCCTAAGGTGTTGAACTATTTTTAATAAGAACAATGCTTAAGGAAAAGAAAATTCCTAAAAACCCTCTTCAATCAGTTGGAGAAGAGAAAAGGGAAATTCCCTCTTGTGGTAAGGAGAGGTAACAAGCTACTGCTCCATAAGAAATCCAGCTTGGGCTACTTTAACCTTCTTCTGCTGGAGGAGAGAGATGTGCCACCAGGCATCATCTCATCCAAAAGTAAAAATGAAAATGTATCACAAAAAATTGCATGCCAAAAAGTTCCTGTTTCTTTCATATGTAAGGGCTGAGGCAACGACAACTAGATCAGCTCTGAATTGCAATGCTGGAGACACCTTTGAGCAGGCAATGTCCAACCGCTTCTTGTTTTCCAGAGCTTTGTGCTTGTTTTGCTCAGTGATGCATGTCCAAACTTTCAAATACTCAAGAGAAAATAAGAAATGTTAAAAATATTAGACATGGAATTTTATTTATTGACCTCCCACAAGCAAATCAAATGTCCCAAGGCAGAGGTAGCTGTCTGGATGAAAGTCATCCAGCAGCCAGCTCAGGCCTTGTTCCCTGGCTTTTAGTTTACTATTAGAGATATAGCCCAAGGTCTCATTTTTTCAGACTACTTGCCAACAACATGCAAGCTAGAAATTAGTATCAGATGAATGAAAGCTCATGTAAACAATTTCAGAAACCAAGACTATTGAACCCATCATCAAGAATCATAAGACTCACAATAAAAACAAGACATAAAAGATTCCTTTTTATATTTTTAGCGTTAAGACTTAACTTTAGGCAATGGTTTATTTGTCACTTGGTTTCTATTTCAATGTGAGCAATTAATTAGGAGTGCAAAACCATTAAGGATGACTGATTAAGCACAGCCGAACTGAAATACACAATTTGAATGTGCAACAATGCCAGTATTGTAAAAATATGATAGAATCTGAAACTTCACAATTTCTTTTATACTCTCATTACTATATTTGGATAATGAGAAAAACTGTGGAAACTATAAACAGAATTTTAAAATAATAAATAATTTACTCTCTAAACTTCAGATTTCAGAGTATTTTAAATGGTTTTGTAACCACAGTGAAAACTTTGCCTTGTGAATACATTTCCCAGAAAGAGTTTTGGTTTTCTTCTGTGTTCAAAAATCTCCAAATAAGCAGATACACTCTGCCTTGCAGCCCATCCCTTTGGTGAGAAAATGCACTCTTATTGTCCTGACTAACAAATAATCGTCAATGTTAATGTGAAAAGATAAAACAAGACAGTGAAATGCTCATTTGGGTCAAAATGAGTTTATTTCCCAGGGCATAGGAAGTCCCAACTGAATTGGTTGCTGCAGTGACACAAGAAACATGCAAACTGTACCCTTGATTAGAATCTGGAAGACAGAGATAAAAGGTTTATCTGTGTGACAAGAGCTGTTTGATGGACTATTAGATGACACTTTTCTATGTCTGCTTACATCTCACAGCTTCTGTTGCTGCTTTGTTACTGAAATAATAATAACAACAATCTTGTCTTTCAAGGAAGGCTTTCTGGCAAAAAAAAATAATGATGTGAGCAAATATGCAAATATCATTAATATTTTGCTTCTAAACACATGCAAAGGCATGCATGCACGTGTGTGATTTTTAGGCACCATCACAAACTGTAACATGTAAACCTGTTCACGTGCCTTTGTTTTTCCCACGCCCTATAATATATCAAAGTTTTCAAGTACTCATATGTGATTGTAAGCTGGCATAGCTGTAGATAAACAAGCGATTACTGCATAAACCTATGAACATAGATTGAGGTACAAATACATACATGCTATACCTATACATACCCAAATATAAATATGTGTGTGTATTAATTCACACATAACTCTATGTATACATATACACATGATCAGACTGCCTTGTTACTGCATATATAGCATGTATATGTACTCATGTATATTTCTGCCTGTAATACACATAAATGTATATTTTCATTTGCATAATATATGTGTTCATTATATATACATATATATTAGATAATACATATATTGTGTGCATATATAAAAATATATCTACATACATATGAAAACCTAAGTTTAAATGTAATTTGACATACTTTATCTCAATTTAATGCTTTGTCTTGGACAATGGGCACCATGATGACCTGATGCAAATCAGCTGTGTGACTTCAGAGTAGGCATAGTCACACTGTGGTGGACTTGCACAAATCAGGCAGATGGTTCTAAATAGGGATGAAATGATAGAAGAAGAGCCCTTGAAGAATGTGATAGGGACAAGGAGACGTATAGTCAGTCCTTAATCAGGTCTCCCAGATTATCATATTATGTGTTTTTTTTGTGTGTGCTCTCAGGTTGGACAAAAAGCGCTGCCTCTTCTGCTGACATTCCTTCAACCACTTCCTGTAGCGTGCAATTATAATTCACTCCCACTCATTCTGCAGTTAGATGTGGAAGGGCCTACAAGGAAAGACCTTTGCTTCAGACAGCTTCATAAATTCCAGAGGAGAACAATCTTCCCAGAGATTAATTTGGCCTTTGTTTTCCTTTAAAGACATAAATCCAGGGGAATTTCCCACACAAAGAAATGTTAGAGTTGAAGCTGCATATGGACATACTACATGTATTCCATTGCTAAGCATCTATCAAAGCAGAATTAACCCCACAAACAGCTCTGAGGCATGTACTTTTTGCAAAATCTCATAACCAAATATATTTACAGGCTTCCCTTCACCCATTCTTCCCCAAGCTGCAGTTCACATCCTGTTCTTCAAGATTACGTTCCAGTACTTAATTAAGTGCACTAAGCATTTCTCATTGCTGATTTCCTTGTATTTTAGTGGTTGCATCATGCTTGGACCAGAACATGACAACTGAACAGATAGATGGAAAGTCAGCTTAGACCACCTATCTGATTCTTCAGTGAGCTGGAAATGACAGTATCTTCCCAGCATAGCTAGCAGCAAACCAAAATTACTCCAGATCGCATCAAGAACAGTTTTACTTCCTAAGTAGGGTTATGACTCAGAGTCTTTTTGGATTTTGATAAAACTAATGATAATGATGACACTGCCTTTCTCATCTCTCCTTGTCTTCTGCCTCACCTGTCTACCAGATGTTGTCTTTCACAGAAACAACCAGGTTGCCTGTTCATTTTGCTGCTTCATAGCCTCAGGTCAGCATGGTTTAACTTCCCAGATAGAGCTATCTGGCTATAGTATCCAAGGATCTAATTCTAATTTGCTTCTGGTATCTCTGCAATCAGGGAGATAATCACCAGCTAAGGGCCTGAGGAACAGCTGGTCCTGGTGTGGCTTCAGCTGCTGCAGCTAAACGGGAACCAGATGGGAGGTACCGAGAATACATGTATATCTATGCTCTGCATACCCATCAGCAGCTGAAATCTATGTCTGTGTTACATTTCCTTGGTGGTTAGTGGAAGAAAATATTTGCTTTTAGGGCAAAGTTCACCCTATCATAAAATTGTCATGTAGAATAGGCAATAGAAACATATTCCTTGACTATCAAGGGATCTCAGGAAGATTGGGTGGGATGTAGATATTTAAAAATAAGTGAAGTGAACTTCCCCAGTAAATTGGAATCACAGGGCCTTTATGTAGTCACAGTGGTAGAGAGCTGATGACCAGAAATATGTTAATTTAGAATAATTTATCTGGGTTACACTGCAGGTTTCTGTCCAAGGTGCTCTGAAATTCTCAAAGCTACATTTTTCACTGCTTAGTTTCTAGAAACGTTATGAAGAGAAGGATAGTCTTAGAAAAAAACAAGCCACAATGTTCCTTGAAGGTGAGTAATTTTTGTGCTTGAGCTTTTCCTGTTTTTGTGCAACTTTATGATCTTTTAGATATGTGCATACACATATACATACACATATAAATAGGAGAGAAAACTAAGTAACTTAAAATGAAAATGCACCAGAATTGAACTATCAGAAGTTATTCTACACACAGTGATTCCATTCTCCATGTCTATCTTAATCCATGCATTACAATTAAATCCACTTCTCTGTACCTGAGTCTATTCACTACATCAAATCCATCACAGTAAAAGTACTTATTTCACAGTAATTCAGCTATTAATTTTTATTTTCTTCCCCTGCTCCCCCCATGCCAGCCCTCTTACTGTCCTCCTGGAATGATTTATCATGAGCCGTGAAAACTCTCATGTCACCTTGTAGTGTGGAACAACTGAAAAGTGTGAACGGTGTTTGGAAAGACTCATTGTCTGATTTAAGTTACGCTAAAAATAAGCACTTCTGCTCAGGCTCTGCCTTGTAACAATTTTCTTCATCTGTGTGCAGTGCAGGCACTACTGCCAAATTGTGCAGAAATGCAGAGTCAGCAGGACCAGTTCTTCTTCAATTCATAATGCTACTGATTTTTCTTTATTTATTTTTTTATTTTTGTATTTACTCTTGATTTGCATCTGTTTAAGGGTAAGTGAATGAGGTCTAATGACAACCAGTAAGGTTGCTTTTGATTTATATTGCTGACTGAGCATCAAGCAAAGTCCAACTGAGCTGTACTAAATCTTAAAATATTCTGGATATTAAAATTACAAAATTTGATTTTCTTTTTCTTTTAAATGGAACACAAGAAGATATAAAAAAGGGCTATAAAATTATTTAAAGTGTTAAAAGATGTCACTTGTTCTCATAGGATATAAATAATTAGAATGCACTATGTAGTCAAGAAAGCAAAATTACCTATGGCTTTAAAAATATTTTGCTTTGTAAGCCAACTATCCCTCTGCACCAAAATATTTACAGTGTCACTGTTAAAAAATAGAGAGGCAACATACCCACTGGGAATGTCCAGAACACCTGGATGTTGCAATCTGTGAGACATGGGAAGGACCTTGACACGAGTACTTGAAAATGCAGAGGCCACCGTGAAAGAAGTGTGTAAAATGGGAAGAGTGAATCTGCATTAAACTGCCATATAGTTTCTAACACTTTGACTCTGATATCAGTTGCAGGGTCAGAGAGTGGGAAAGCTGTGATTAGAGTTCATGGTTTCCATTCTTGGGGGAATTCCAGTATTTGGAAATGAGACCCTGTTCTGAATCACATCATAGAATTTTTTTTTTTTTTTCTCTCATGATTTTCTGAGGAACTGAAATGAAGCAGCAAGAAAAAAAAAATCAGATCAATCTAATCATTTAATGCCTTTTTTTTTTTTTTTTACATTTTCCCCCTCTCTAAATAAATATTGTGTTAAATAAATATATTTTAAAATTATTTGAAACACAAATATAAATATTACATTGTGATACAATTGAATATATATATATATTTCTTCTTGTAGAAATGGTAAAAAAAATCATACAGTTTCATTCAAAGCTTCTATTTTGACTAGAGCATTTTATGATAGGGGAAAAATGTCAAGTTTGAGGAATTTTAAGCTAACTTCAGCTTTGCCAGGAAAAAGCAGAGACTCGTGGGTTTCTGCAGAAGAGTAGTTCGTAAGGTATTCATTTGATCTGGACTTACTATCTATCAAATATAAAAAAAGAAATTATGCTTTTAAAAATGCTCAGAAAAAAAAAAAAAATCACTGCTTTTAAGTAGTGGGTGTATCACTTTGGTCAAAGGTCCACCTTTTATTTGTGTACCTGTGGCTTTCTTCTGTAGCACATTAATGGTACTAGAGCTTTTATTATTTGCTTAAAAGAGTTCTTTGCCTAGCTTCATCTGTTCTCTAGAAAGCTGAAAGACAAAATTCCTGGACAGAATTATGCCGTTGGTTCAAACAAGGTAAATGCAGAGAAACAGTAGCATAAGTGCAGAGTCACCTACTGGTGTAAAAGGAAAGCCAGTATCCTCTGTGAATGTATTGCAACACCAGCATGGACCTGCCTGTCCTGATCGCATGGGTTAACAGCAAAACAGTGCCAGCCAACACAAATACCTCTCAGTTAGACATGAACACAGATAATTGTTTGTGGAATCTCTTGATTTGTTTGGTTCTGAAGAGAAGGATGTAGGTACTTTTGGAAATTGTATGTAGGATGTGACTGGAGCTGTTTGTTTATCCATTGATTGGGAGTTGAGAGACTTTTTTTTTTTTTTTTGGCTAAATTTCAGTGTAAACAGGTCATAATATGTGCTGCTTGTATGGAGAGAGCATGGATCTCTGTCCCAAAGCTCACTATCATACATTTTCATGTCTGTGGTGGAAAGCAGTAGTGTTCAGCTTCCAAGGAGGCTGATTTTGTCAAAGTCACATAATCTGGAGGAATAAAAAAAAAAATAATTTTTCAACACACAATTTATTTGGCAGCCTTCTGCCTCACCACTGACACCAATAGCAAAGCCAGGAGGAGCGCCTGTTTATGGTAAGCACTATTCAAGTGCCCAAGAAAGAATTATTCCTGTCCCTGAAGCTCTCACAACCTAACCAGATGGTTTGCAAAGGCAGTATTGCTACCTGCCATTCACTAAAAGAGGATAAATGCGCACAACATATCTGACAGAGATAGTCAGATCTCCCTAATCCTGTGTCAGTAGTGAAACCGAAAGGCCTCTTTGCTTTCTGCTTAAGCTTAGTTGAAGTTTGTGCTGAATTGGGATCTAGGACTTCTTATCCAGAGACTTTGAATGGCCCCATGCCTCAGTTTCCCTATCAGCAGTGAAGGTAATAACATGATTTAAATCAGATTTTAATTTACATCAGGTTAGTCATTAAAACATTATAGAATTCTTTAGCATTTGTTAAAATGCTACAAGAGAACAAGATACATCCTGTTCTGATTACTCATGGTTTAGGATTACTCACAGGGTAGGTTTTTCTCCTGATCAGATGCCCACTGTTCTTTTAACCAAAAGAATAACGTGACTAACAAAAAGTACTGTAATGTTGACAGTGAATACCAAATGCTTCTATTCCATGAATAATTCTTCATATGTAAAAGAAATGACTGAATGACTTACTGAAAATGCTCATCTGAGCTAAAGCCACTTACTGCAAAAAGGCACAAGCAGCAAATTAAGAGTGCACAGCAGATTTTGATCTCAGTTCAATGAGTTTTGCTTGGGCACAGGTCCATTGGCTTCTTCACCCATCCAAGTGAGACACAAATCAGGCTGACATATGTATGCATGTCTGATAAAAGTGCACAGGGTTATGTCCATATTAGTCATGCGATAACAGGACAGATACATGTTAAGGTGGAACAGTGTTAGCAAATTATCTCACAAAAGGCTATTTGTCTTCCTTGGGATGTGTGCCACTGTTTTAACAAGTCTGAATAAATCTACATTCCTGACTTCCTGTCATGGAGACTTAATCCAGCTCAGTCAGCGAAGGGATGCAGGCTACAATAAAACGCTTGGAGAAGGAAAAAGCAGCAGTAGGCCTTGTGTTCTTCCTCCTGCTGATCCACAGTTCTGTTCTTAGGCCCACACAATTGGGACAGTGAAGGAAGGGACTCATCAAACATTGCAGCTGTGATGTAGCCAGCTGGCTTCCCTTCATAACCATTGGCCAGATGTTGAAACATAATTGACACATTTCTTATTCAAAAGTAATGACCCAAACAGGCCGTACTGTGGCAGTAGCTATTTCTGTATTGACCAGCAGCCTTCAGCAAGGTGTAAACCCTTCCAGTTTACCTGCTCCTGTATTAACTGTGGTAACACTGTGACATGCCAGTCCTCTGCACTGTGGTTCACCTCTCTGTGACACAAAGAGAATCATCACAGCAGAAACAGCAGGAATTTAAGCTCCCTGTTGGCTTTGCTTAAACAACCACTAATGTGCACTAGAAACACTCCTGTGTTCTGTCTTTCAGCAGTAAAACAGCAGTATACATTAACTCCTTAAACTTCAGATAAATGTGCAAAGCTGGCCTGCCTACACTTTAAATTAACCAAGGATTTATTGGGAGGAGTAAGCAGAGAAAAAGACTTACTGTCCCCTCCACTCCCCAAAACTCAGCAGAGGGGAGCAGAACATCCTGGATTGCATCTGTCTGTGCTCACAATCTTTGCCTGTCTGCTGCTTTCGGGTTTTGAGCTCTTTTGTAACCAGCCTCTGCCATGTAGGTATTTACAAAACAAATTTATAACGACGGGACCCCATTGTCAGCTACCAGATATTATTGCTATACTAATTTGAGGACAGCCAGTGATGGAAGAAAATAGCTCTGTTCAACTCCTAACCCTGTTTGCTGGAGCAGGGCCTAAACCGTGAAGTTTACATATTGTTTAATACCGTGACCTCTGTGCACTTACTAATCCCTCATCCACCACTCTGCAGCTTCTTTCTTGCCCTCAGCCTCCAGACTAATACCCAGAAAGATGCTTGGATTTCCAAAACTGCAAACCACGCAGTTGTCAAATTGGCAGGGGACGTTTTGCGGAGTCAGCACACCACCCTGTCATGACCAGGGCTGCAGGATCTCTCCTTCCTGTGGATAATCACATCTTCAAGTGCATCAAGCCCCTTCCAGCTGCATCAGGATTTTGATGCCAGCAGAAAGATTGCTTCTCACTCTCAGGGCAAGCTGAAATACTGCAAGTGGGAAAAATACTTTGGAGGCTATTATGTGGATAAATAATTTTTCCCAAATCAATGTTTATATCCTTTAAATCACCAACTATTCCCCATTGTGATGTTTCTTAAATACTGTCAGATTTTATTATTGATGGTTTTACACTCTGGAATATTTAATTTGTGTTATAAACTCAGGAATTTTCTCTTTTAGTTAGGAATGCCCAGTGCTTCTTTGGTGCAGACTCTGAGTATGGGCTTACAGGCAAGTAGAGAGGCCATAAACCCAGGGTGTTTCACTCCTCTACAGTGCCTGTACACTGACATGCCCTTATCCTACAGCATACAGCATAGGGTGATTCATCCCTCCTTTGTGGAGAGTTTAGCTGCTTCACATTTTTTCTGCATGCATGACAAGCAGCAATCAGGACGCAGCCACTGGGTTGAAAGTTCACATCCAAGCTACATCTTAACCATTGCTTGTATAACTGTACCTTAAAAATCAGTGTTTAGGAGACTGGCTGCTCACACTTTCCTTCTCTTTAAAGTTTCTGGGGAAAAAAACAAATAAAATATATATATATATATAAATAGGGAGACACTTGTATTGGCATGCCACTAAATCTGAACCAAAATTTCAGACCCCACAAAGTGAGTTAAAGAAGAAGACCTTTCCTGGAGGACAGTCACTGACAGAGAAATCAAATCAGGTAAGCACATAGATCCCATGTCAAAATGACTGTATATAGAAATGACTTTTTTTCTAAAAAAAAAATTGTGCCCAAAATAGAGCACCTGGCACTGCTTGTCATGCAGTTTCACTGAGAAACACTGATTCAGCAGTTCTGCACAATGTGTAAGAGAAAACCCCTTTCACTGCTTCTACAATTAAGCTCATCGGAATACCTGATTATCAGGAAACACTGAAAATACATGCATGCACATATTTAGTCCTAATGTAGAATACTTTGCCTCCAAAAAAGTGCCTTTTTGCCCTTCCATCTTAGAAAAAGTTTCCTCTCTTCTTAGAAATAGAAGTTCTCCCCCTGGAAATTCTGCTGTTTAAACCTCAGTTTTCCTGAAACATAACAAAAAAATAATGACATTACTTTCAATGCTTTGAAATAGTTCAAAAGGAAATGTTTTATTTGGAAGCATCTTATTAAAAATCAAGCATCTCTGAACATAAACACTTTCCAGGGGGAAAAAAGTGACTCAGCCTCATACCATTCCTGAAAAAAAGAAAAAAAATAAAATAAATCTGAGTTTGTTTACTAACTGTCCTTGTGACTTTTTTTTTTTTTTTAAAAAAAAAAAGCTATCAGTAGGAACAGTGCTAAATAGGTGTGCAGGAAATGAAAAAAATTGATAAAAAATTACCGAGAACAAAAAAAAAAAAAAAAAAAAAAACACAGAAAAGGAGGGGGAGGCTTTGAAATTATGTTATATAAGATGCTATGCTACAAAGAAGTATTAAGCAAAGGACTTCCCTGAAAGAAAACCATGTCCATATTGAAATTAAGAACCTTTTAAATATAAGGCAAATACTTCACAATAAATATTCTCCCAGGGCTTTGATTATGAGGTGGCAGGAAAAAGCTTTTAAATAATATAATATGGTGATTTCTGTTTAATGCAGATTGTTCCAAGGGCTGCAATCACATAAGCAAGTTATTCTTCAATAAGTAAGAAAGAATTAGGAGCCAGAGTGAAGGTAAGTATTTAATTGTTGGCTTTTTTCTTTTTTCTTCAGTATTCTAATTGAGCCTGGAATTTGGATATTTCTGAATAGTTCTAACAGTTGCAGGTTAGATCCTGTCTTGAATCCAGACCTTTTTTATGCCTCTCAGGCCAACATTTATTCTGTATAATGAAACAAAATTTTCTTGAGGAAATGATACCTTCAAAAACCTTTGCTTCAAAAACAGGCTTGTACCTTTGGCCTGAGGCATCATTTTTGGACACCATGCCACTTGAAGCAAAGAAATAGCATCTAAAAAGAGCTGTGAAAATCACAGTAACATTAAGTTTGTTTAATCAAGTGTTCTGATATAGGGAAATTTCTCTGGATCGCAAGTTAACCAGTTATTCAAATAGGTGTACAATCTTTAACATGAGTTGAAGATATTTTCTCCACTTACATCCCACAGCAATGCATTCCATAAGTTAATTATCTTCTGTCTTAAAAACAAACAAACAGCAAAACAACAAACAACAAGAAAACAAAAACATCCCCCTCTCCCCACCCCCCTTTTAATCCATTTCACAATAGCTATGCTGCTCAGCCTTAAACATTTAACATTTTGGAAAGGATATTAACTCAGGTCTTTTTAAAGCCATAAGGATTTATTTTCTCATCTTTCTTGACCTCCTTAGTGACAGAGGTCATGGGACTTCTCTGAAGTAATTCTTGCATTAACTGTTCTATGTTGCTATCAATAGATCCAGAATTCAGAGGACATCACTCTAGATTTGAAAGTGGGCAGTGGTGGAGGGAGTTGTTCCATTATTTAATTACCCTGGTTTGTTCCAGCCCATGTTTGTTTGGTTTCTAATTCTACCTTTTGGATCATGTTATAACTTCTTTTGGTAGAACAACTGTCCTTGTCCGTTGGTGATTTCTGTTTGAAATGTAATATTTGTTTGATTCAGATCCTGATTTGCCCTTTTAATTTTTCAACTCTCTTCTACTCGTCGTATTACTAATATACTTTTATCAGCACCGACTTAAAATAAAATGTCAAATAATAATTTCAGGTCCACAGTGCTTAAAAAAATAACTTTTTATTCAATGACCTTCTCAACCCACTTGTTCATTTCAGGGCTTCTGCACTGTCCCACATCAGAATTCTCTCCAAAGCTAAGGCATGGGGTGTTCCAGATACCACATCTCTTTCCCCAGGCAAATTAATTGTTAACAAATACCAGTCCAACACAGATTTCTAAAATTTGTAATCCCTTCCTAATGGTGTTCTGTCAACCTCTGATGAAACTTGTTCTCGTGTTTGGATTATTGAACTTCCCTTGAAAGAGCAATGCTACTGCTTTTTTGGAGACAGTGGGTCTGTTAGTGAGGGCAGAGGTATTTCCTAAGATCAGCTGTCTCACCCTGATAGGGGTATTGCATGACTAAATTCATTTTAAGCAAGCCAGAACAATTCTTTCTATCTGGAAATTTTGACCTCCTGTGTGAACTGGATCCTGAATGACTTCCCATTCAAACTAGGGAACATAAGTTCTGCCAGAAAGGAGACCTAAGGAAGGTAGGTACGGAGAAAATCAAGAAAGGAGACATCCTCAGAGTATTGTGACTCAGTTAATTATATTTTGGATTTCAGGTGGCCAGAACTTTTGCAACCAAAAATAGTCAATGTATTCCTCAGTATAAAGATGTCAGGAACTCTCCCTAGGGTGTTGCATGTCCCAGGCTGTGGGACACTATTGGTGTTTGCAGTCACTGAGATCTTGGCTGAGATTCTAGGTTGCTCTCAGAAGAGTTCAAGGGGACAGACAGGACCAGTTTTAGGTCACTTGGTGTTTTGAGACTGTGTCCTTGATGGCCCTTCACAGATAGGCTGAGGCCCAAACTCTGTTATCCTCTCACTGTATACAATTTCATATCTGAACTTTAGGTTTTGTTTGTTTGCTTGTTCGTTTTTCAAACAGAACAAAACTGAGAAATATAGCACCGTAGATTAAAAGTGATTATGAAAAGATAAAACAGCTTTCACATTCGTGATCATGTTATTTTGTAAATATATTATGCTAGATTTTTTTATTTTTTTTTTCATTCTGACACATCTAGAATATAAAGACGACCTTAAAACACAAGTTTAAATATCCCAACAAAGTGTGATTTGATGCTTTAAAAGAAGTAATATCTCATTAAAAAAAAACATATATCAGAGATATTGTCACTTAGATTATTTTAGAATATCATAGGGAAATAAAAACTTGTGCTTTCTGTGACCTGTTACAGCAGATGGAAAGATAACAATGGTGACCATACATTTTGGATATGAAAACACCTAAGAGAGCTGTTTTCATTCCTCTAGCAACTGACAGAGAAATGGTCAAGTCAGCTCTTCAGCATATCAGTCTACCTACAGTTTTGGAAAATCACTTAATATCTGAAACTTAGCTAAAATAGAACAACACTAAACCTCACACATCTACTAGTCAGCTCAACATAGCCACCTCACCAGCCCATGACAAGGATGTTCCTTAATTATAGTTTCTTCTCCATGCTTTCAGGAACTAAAACCCCATCCAACATTTTCTTACCTTTAACTGGTCTTGTCAGAGGTCCCACAATAAGCCCATAGATGCTGGAAGGAGCTTGGTTGATGGGTTGAATGCTGGTTGCAGCAGGTTATGTTACTCTTACACTGGGAGAGAGGCAAAGGTTGTTGTCTTAACCAGAAGTAGAGGCAGGACAAAGCTAGGTGTTTACAAAGCATTCATCCTTGTACATCTGGAATAAAAGACCACCTGAACCTTCTGCCTGTGCTGGCGGGTGGATATCTGTATGCTGGAGTGCATGTGCCAAATGAGAGTGTGCCCTGATGCAGCCGTAGCCTCAGGAAAGCTAACATCTCTCCAGGGCTCTGCTTTCTCTCTGCCTCATGAGAGGTGGCCGCACAGAATGGAATGATTGATTCAAGTAGGAAATTTTCCCACTGAAATGATACAAGTCAGTTGGCTGAAATATTTTGTGAATTCATGCTGATCGAAGAGAACCCTTTCAAATAAGGAAAAAAAAAAAAAAAAAAGCTGTAGGAAAGTGGGAAAAAGATTCTGGAAAAAATGTAAATGTTTTTTATTTGGACTCTTGCAAAGTAATTTGAGGTGATGTTTCATTTAAAAATATACTTCAGTTTTATTTAGAGTAGAATAAACATCCTTTCCAAGGGCTCAGAAGTAAAACATTTCATTTCAGTCTGGAAAAAAAAAAAATAGACTTGAAATGAAACTTTTTCTTTTGCTGCTGTTTGCCTTGCTTCCACATCTCTTTTTAATGTCACTTCAAAATAAAATCAGAAACCATATGAAAAAAAGTGACAGTGAAACCCATGCCTTTCACATCTCTTGTATTTAACTGTAAAACTGTTGGGCTTCTTAGCATTTTTCATTCGTTTAACTGTATTCATGTCGGTAGCAACAGTGCATGATCTTAGAGGAACTATCTGCTACCAAAATGAGACAGACTCCTGCAAAAATAAAATTTGCAATTTTGGCTACTGATGATGTTATGTGGTCAGCAGAAATGTGAATGAAGGGCCATTGCTTGTGTATGGATCTTGTATTGTTTTACAGAGCACCACAAAATTCATTTTCAGTAGTTTTCTCATTTCTTTCCTTTTCCATGCCCAACTTCCAAACAGGAGGTCAGGTCAAACTTCTGGCTGGTATAATAGCTAATTACACTCCTTATTTGGCCTAGGATGCAGAGTGAGGCATAAATTAGGACCTGATAGCTTAGTTGGTGCGGTGGTGGGCTATTAGATGTGTGTCAGTGAGCAAAGATCTGATCAAAGCTCACAGTGAGGCAGTCAGAGGTCGTGAAGCATGGCTGGGGCCTAATTGCTGGGCTGGGCACTAAAAGGAAGTTTGCAATGAAAGGCCATTAAGCTGCAGCCTTTCCAATCAGTGGAGCAGAGCTATGGAGAAATGTTGTTTGGTGAGTAAGGCAGGGAAATGAAGGGTCTGGTGCTAATCCTGCTCCATGTAATGGTGCTGATGGCTCACCTCATTTCTAAAGAAGGTCAGAATCTGTCCCTAAACATCAGTTCTGGCAAGAGCCTATTTTGAACACTTTCTCTTAATTTAAATGATTTGGTCAAAAGAAGGAATCTTTCTTCTTATTTTGTATTATTTATTTATCTATCTATTTATTTATTTATTTTTATTTAAGAGCTGGCACTCAGAGAAATTCAGCTGGTTGTAAATGAGCTGGTGGCAACTTGGCTCATAGGGTAGAGGATGGTGAGGGCAGAGAGTTTATCCTTTTGAAGAGCTGCACTTACAACAAAATGGGGGAACAGTAATAAGTGCTCTTTATTCTCAAAATTTCCCTAGACACTCTGTGCAGCCCATAAGCTTATTTTGCCCATTTTAGGAATGAGGAAACTGAGGCAAAATGAAATTAGCATGCCTGTCAGAGTACAGTCTTCACTCTTTTTGTATTTTTACACTCAGATCCCCACAGGTCAGATATTTTAGAGTCAAAATGACATAGCTTAACTGATTTGAAGAAGAATGAACAACCATTTTCCTATTTTGTTCCCTTCTATCATAGAAGAAAATCATTTGTGACCTACCAGTCACATCATCAACCTTGTTTCCTTTCAGCTCTTTTTCAGAACTCTGAGAAATTTTCCCGGTTAAACTTTTGTTGAGGATGGTATCAGTCTCAATTTCTCTCTCTTATTCCTCACAAAACTTTGCATAAAATAAAATAAATGGTGACTTTTTGTAAGTTCAGTGAAGGAGGACAAATGCTTCTATTTTCTAAAACATCAATATCATTTTTATATATGTCAACAGTTTAAATGAACTAGCTTTTTAAGTTTTAACATGATACAAGACCTAAATAGCAGAGGCCAAATATTTTCATGTCTGTTTGGAAAGGGCACCTTGAATATAAACAACAATAAATAATACAGAAAGGTCCGATGGTTCCAACCAAATATGGGTTATCAGAACGAAGGCTGGAATTTCAACACAGAGAAATTTCCACTCTGTCAACATTTATTTTCAGTCTGGTTTCAAAGAAAATGATTTTTGGGGAAAGAAAAAAATCTAATAAATTCTTAGGTCAGAAATGTTGAAATGTATTGGTAACACTTCAGCTTTCAGTTACTTCCAACTATGCTGTTGCAAAGTAAGAGAAACTGTAGTTTAGATGAGTCATGTTCAATGTTTCTTCATGGGTTCTTTGCCATAACTACATTTCTCATGAACTCACGTGTCCCAGCTCATGGTACATATTCTTGATTTGTGAGTCAATATCCAGCCTCTTAGGCCATGTCCCTTAATTTAATCTAACATGAGAACTCTACAAGAAACAAATATAATTGCAGTAAAAAGATCTTACACAAACTCCTACCTGGGTGGGAATAACATTTCACCCCATTTCTCCTTTTTCTTTCTCCTACCTGTCCTTGGGGCAGGGCATGCAGGTGTCATTGGCAATGGTAATTATTCACTAGTATAATGTAATTACCAAGGTATATCACCAGCCTGTCAATGAAGTCATATCTTTTAAATTTATAATTTATTATTTAAATATATAATTTATTATTTAATAAACTTTAAAAATAGAATTTGTAGCTATAGTTTTCTTTCTTTGGATCAAAGGAACTGTAATTCCATTTAAATGAATGAATTTAAGGAAAAAATACTGAAACAAAGATTAAAATCTTTTGCATGGTATTTCACAGGTGGCACAGAAAACAAGAACAACATTTAATAGCTTTCCCAGCTGATTGCAACATACTTTCTTTCAAAGAAAATCACTGTGTTAAAGCACTAAGAGAAAGGAAAAAAATATTGTTGCTGGATTTGTCTTTTTCTTTTTCCCGGTATTGAAGAAAATGAGAAGAGAAATCTGTTTCATGTCTCTTTCTGTGCTTTTCATACAACTTAACTAGATTATTAGAAATGTTCAGTAATAATCTGTAGATGAAAGGAATGTTAACTCTTGAGTCTTTATTATGATTTAGGCTTGAAGTCATTTGAAAATTGTATGTGGAACATGATCTATTACATCTTATGGCAAATAGGAGCTCATATATTTAGGCTACAGCTAAAGAGTAACATCTGCCTATGTATTGAAGAACTAATTGCTAGCAAAGGAGAAATGAATATGTTTGTGACTTTGTATGGTAAACTCGGCAATAAAGAGAATAAGGTCCTGATGTGGAAAATTGAAAGCCAGTTCTGCAGAAAGAAACTATTCTTCTGTGAGGAGTAATGTAAGAGAGCTTTTTCTTTTACATCCTGAGACAGAAGGCAAGCACAAGACTATATGTTTTAAGCTGAACTTCCAAACCCATGACCGATGAGTTGGTTTCAATAGATGTTGATGGTAATACTGCCAGAGACAGAGGTGTTCTGGCAACAGACCTCATCCTGTTGAACTCAAAAGCAAAATTTCTTAACCTACAGTATCTGTCTTGGTATTTACACATTTTAGAAATAAGCCAACCTCCCATATTTATCAGTGGTATTTGAACTTCCCTAAATGCAGACTTAACTTGTTACTGGTCTTTGTATTCTGCTTGCTAGGAAGTCAAAATTATGTCATTTGAAAATTTCATATCTGGATCCAGTTTTTAATTTGAAGTACTCTCAACACTTCATCTTGATCTGTTCCAATGTTTTAGTTCAGGTCTCCCTATTCTCAGTTTTATACATTTGTACATGCAATTGCTTAAAGTCTCTAAAATTGCTAATGTGCCTGCAATCCTATGGAAAAAAAAAAAAAAGGTCATCTATATATCTTTTTGTTTCTCCAATTTGTGGTACCATACATGGGAAAAAGAAGCAAAGAGGAATATTATCCTTCGCTTGATCTGCAGCAAGTACCACTATCATGTAAATACAGCCTTGAAGAACACAAAAATTACTCAAATAGATTTGAAACACTGCAGAGCTCAACTTCATTTTACAAAAACACCTGTTGGAATCTTATACCTCTAAATAATTAATTCGCTTTAAAAAAATAATTATTAATTAAAAATAATAATAAAAAATACACTTGTATGAAGAAAGCAACTTTCTAAGCAAATTCTTCAAGTGATGTAGTGCTCAATCAGGAGAATTAAAGGAAGAATATGGATTTCTTACTCATAGCCTTCCAAAGGTTTTGGTAGCACAGTTACTTAGGTATATTTAAACTTATCAGAAAAAGGTCCTTTGCTTTAAGAATATACCATTGTTGACAGTTTGGTAGATAAAGCACATGTATCTGGAACCAAGGAAGCATAGGTATGGGGTTTAATAGATGTATATGTATACCCTCCAAATACATATAAACAGCTACATTGTTAAGGCGTATGATACAATCCTAGCATATACATGTGGGTATACAATCTGTGTGGGTTATTGAGTTCAGTTGAAGCTGCTGTTATTCAGATACATGACATCACTGAGATTGATAGTAAAATAATACTATCATTTCTGGTACTCATATTTAAACAGGATGCGGACAAATTAGTAAGTGTTGAATGCCATAGACTAAGCTGAGTTCCAGGTCCAAGTCAAAAATATTCACTCCTTAGTGAAGTTCTGTGGTCTGTCTGCTGTAGACACTCATGCAAGATGATTGCAGCAGCCTCTTAAGAGCTAAAAAATTTAATAATGAGTTTGTTGTGGATCATTTTGATCTACCATTTGCTCTCAGTTGGATGCAAAAGGCTTGTTTGAGCAGTAGGAAACACATACTGGTGACCTGTCAACTCACTGGTAGCTCTCAGGTCCATGGCTTTTCTTTGCTAACCCTGCCAATATACCCTGTAGTTGATGTCTATATGTACAGCATAGAACAGAGTCCATTGGTGCTGGAAAAGTATTATAAAGGCTATGTTTTCCTGGATGAAGTTAGATCCTGTAAGTCTAGCCTGGAATAAACAAGTTACTGGAACCTACTTAATAGACATATATTGAGCAGGCAGAGAACTGTATGGATAGATAAATAATTTCCCAGTCTGCACAAAAGTGGTAAAAAAATCACCAAACACATGGAGGAGCTGCAAACTTATAAGGAGGTTCTTATAGTCAAATGGGATTCAAAATATTACATGGGTATTAAAAAAATATAAATTAAAAAAATCAGCATGGACTGATGTCTTCATGCACAGCCAATGCAAGTCCTGGATCATACCCAGGTGTAAGGTAAGACTGCCTGGAGCCAAAGATATCTCAAAACTCCCAATACAGTCAGCATTTCCTGACCCCACTCTTCTCAAACTCCTTTTCCACAAAAGAAAGAGCAAATCAATACCTAGTTAGTTTAAGCATTTATGCACATGACTCTCTAATGTCAGACTATAGATACATTTGGGGCAATGCATTAATATCGACATGGACTCCACTAAAATGTGAAGTACTATAAGTATGGAGGACAATGAATTTATACAAATATGACTATGCAAAATATAAATAGTTTCATGTCTGTTTAGTGGACACGGAGTATTAACACAAAATAGCCAGTCACGTAACCCTTCCTATTCTTCAGCACAGCTGATCCTGTGTGTAAATGTTGCTGTCTGTATTCTGGGTGTTCTGAATTTAACTCACTATTGACAGGGTGTAACTTACAGTTTGAAATATTTAGTTGGAAACTGTCATTTTAAATTCCCATTCAATGTCTGCCACATCTCTTTCTTGATAGAAGTCGTTAATCTTTATCAAAATCCTCTTGATGAATAGACTTTAAGAGTGGTATTCTGGATTTGCACTACTGGAAATGAGAACAGTGTTTGATGCTCAGTTACTGGTGTGAAGATAGATCTTTATTTGACGTGAAAACAATTCTGGCAAGCTATGTGAATTTACCCCAAATTGTGGCTACCCTGTACAGTTCTTTCCTCCATTTCCATCCAGAAATACAGCCTCCTTGTTGGAAATTTCCATTCTCCCAAAGCAGCTCCCTGGCAGGTTTGCACTAGTTCGAAGCATATCTAACATGGCAATTGAGAGGTTTGTTGGGTTCACATGCAGCGCAGAAAGCAATTTTACTTTCATACTTGATGTTCTTGTGCACATCTGACCAGAGTAGCCAAGTGCACAAGTTGTAATCTTTCCAAAAGCAGTAGGTTGATATCAAAGACTTTGCAGTGAAGCAAGGAATTGTGGCAGTACTTCAAGGAACAGGTTTGCAATTAACTGTTAAATACAGATTGAAGGAATGCCCTGCTTGGTTGCTGCAGGCTTTCCTTGCATGCCAGAGATGACTGAATCTAAAGCACAGAGCATAGCAAGATGATAACCTGTTAGCAGGGGGAAAAATACAGGGAGAATTACTGAGTAGTTGATAACATGCTGGCTGGTTAATGGTTTCAAAATATTGCACAACATAACAAATCAGACCCTCTGAATTACAATTCTTTTGGCCAAAAAAAAAAGGAAGTAAAATAACCAAATCATATTGTGTATATGATGTTTCTTAAAAAAAAAAAAAAAAAGTAAAAAATCAAAGGATGTTAGAAATTGCTCAGCCTACACACTCTTTCTGCCATGGAATGACAATACAGATGACAGTGTATGCAACTTGGAAAACAGAACAAAACACTTTGCTGCAAAACTAGAGTAAACTGAGATTGTTTTTATACTTGGCAATGTAATCTACGGTCTATTGTGCTCAGTGGTTCTAATTTTAGGATGAGAGATATGGAACAGACTATTTTGATTCTGTTTTCTGCCTGGGGTTTTATTACACTTTTTTTTTTTAAATTATTTTTTATTTTCAGTGTGAGCTCCTATTTGGACTGCAAGCTCCATTGTGCAAGGAATATCTTAGGTGTATAACACCTCTTAGTATAGTCAAACACCGATTTCCATTTGATGCGACTACTGTATAGAAGGCCAACATATATGATATGGACCAAGTGGAACTGGGCTTCCAAGGCTTTGCTTCTCTAGAAAAAAGAGAGAAAACCTCAAGTGACTTTTTTTTTAAATTTATTCCCACAGTGATAGTTCTGCTTATATCAATACCTCTGTCCTTACTGCTTTTCCTTATTAATTTTTACAGTGTGACCTGTGCTTCTATGAACTCTTTCAGTAAGTGAGTGTCTGCTTCTTTTTTAATTATATACCCCTGTGGATAAGAATTGCTTTTAATGAGAATAATCATCACAGTTTGGGAAGGGCTTTGAGATTTTTATAATGTCATTCTTTTGTAATATCAACGTATCATTGGGTAAGGAGAAACCTGGAATATGAACATTGAAACCAAGAGCTAAATACAAGAGCAAAAACATTACCTTAAGGACTGCTTCTTTTAGACATTAGACATGATCAAACTCTTGTATTTCTGCAGCTAGACACTCCTGAGGGTCATAGAGTCATACAGTGTATGAACAAATATCTTATTTGTATTATTGAAAGAAAACCCTGGATGCATTAAGAATCACACAGAAATAGGGCTTGAAATAAGAGTTTGTTCCTGTAGATGTTACTCTCCAGACTAAAACCAGCTTTGAAGAGGGCCAATGATTTGTGAAAGATCTTGAAAAACAATTTTATCATCAGCATGGTTTGCAAAGAGTTGCTCAACATGTATCAGGTTTTGACATCAAGTTGTCAATGGTTTTCATTTGCTAAGCAAATAGTGTTCCTGTGTGATTTATGACTTGGCATGAACCTGAAAATCAGCACTGAAAAAAAATAGGAAAATTTTATAGCAAAAAGTTATGGTCATTTCTCTACTTTCAGTACTCGATAATAGCACAAAGTGCAGAAGGCAAGACTAGGTGACTTTCATCTGAATTATCTTATGATCATAAAACAAATTGTTTATTACTATAAAGGACTGCCTGTTTTGACATTGTCTGAGCTACCACTCAGCCTTACCTGAAAAATTAAGTCAAATTTGAATCAATTCCTTCAAAGATCAGACCCCAGTACCCCGGCATTCATATCTCAGGAAGCTAACTGATTTTATTTATTTACTTTTTTTTCCCAGAAGTGGAAAAAAAGTACCCTTTGAGACAAATACCTCCCATTTATATCTGAATGACACGTTTTGTGTCATTGTTATAACAAGCAATCTGCCCCTGCATTGTTCTGCAAAGATCAGGGTTTAGTCTCTCATCCCAGTTTTGTAATGTCTATTCGGTCTCCAAGTTCTTAACGCAAGAGGTGCATACCAATATCAATAAGTAGCACTCACAGTCACTCTCTGTGTTCAAAACTAAATATT